TGATTTCAAATTCATATTGTTCATCTCTAATCTTTTTAAGTTACTACACCTAAAGAAGAATAAGAATATGTACACATGGACCTATAGTTAAGAGAATCAACAAAATGACATAAAGATGCCAAATACCCTATCTAACCGAACGAGTGGAATAGCAACATAATGGAGTCACAAAAATACACCAGTTGCAATATCAATGCCTTTCACCAAAGGTCTTTCTAGTAATAAAGTAGTAAAACAATATTTGACGATTAAGAATTCCAAAATTTGTGCTCAAAGGAAGTACAATGCTTAGCCTTAACATACCTCGATTTTGGGTCTTGTTGTATCAATATGGATTGTACCCCTTCCTTACAGTATGTAATCTACATAAAATCATATCACAGTATGTAATCTACAGAAAATCATGTCACACAACCATTACAGGCAAAATATTAACACGGCAGGGTCAAAGTAGCAATTTAGATCTTACGAGCAGAGTAATTAGCTCGCCAGACCCTTTTTAAATGCATGCGTCATTACCTTTTCTTCTCCAAATTACAACCCCAAATTAATGATGTAACATACATTTTTGCAGCAACTATTAACAAGTTGAGGCCTACACAATAGTCAACAACAACCAAATAGAGTATACCTGCACAACAATTAAAACTCGGCGTATCGCCACACCCCTCTTTTCCAACCCAAAATAACCATAACCAAATCCTAACCACTAGTCTCAAACCACTAAGACTTAAAAACCATTAAAGCCATAAAAAAATATGTATAATACAGTCCTATAATTATTCAATATAACTATAATAACTTGAACTCGCCGCTTCCAATCATCATCCTATACGTTCATCCAATAATTATATTTGGAGTCATGTCTTTCTCTTCATATGCAATAAGAGCTTAAAAGGACATAACCTAAACTTAAACTTGATGGAGCTTGCAGTACATTAGCATGTCTTGTCAATAACAAATAGTCTCCTTAAACGCAAGCCGTTGAACCAAGAAGAAACAATTTGAAAATTGCAATGCAATAATAGAACCAACGTTACACTAATTTATGTTACAATTAAACATCCATCTATACTTCTTCTTCTCTTCCAAACTCAAATCAACAAGAACCACACACATACAAAGCATTTCCACTTCTTCTTCTCTTCCAGACTCATATCAACAAGAACCAAACACATACAAATCATTTCCGAAAATTCAAGCAACAATAATATCAGAAAAATACTTCAAAACAACCCAACATCCCGTAACTATCCAAATACAATTTTTCTAGCCGTCTATTCGTGTTCTTGCTTATATAGCATAGCTATAACTTGGAATCACTCAATAAAATGAAGGGTGATAATTATTACCTCCAAACAGCAGGAACACTACCTAAAAATGAGACTCCTTCACCACGAAGAATCCTTCAAATCACAGCCAACGAGGAGGAAAGAAATAACACAATCTCTATGAATGTTCCGAGGGT